TCAGCCCACGTTTACTCCACACCACTGTCTTCCAGGAAAAATGCTGGAATCCTGTGACGAGCAAAGTAGACCCAATACCTGCTGTGAAGGGGCTTCTAGTTTAGCAGGGAACACGTTTGTAAATCAGAAAGAGAAAGTCTGGTGTTTTATTATCTGACAGCATCTGATCAGTGACAGGTGCTCTTTAAAATATTTTTAAAAATTTCGTAACATTTATTCATCTTTGAGAGAGGGACAGAGTGCAAGCAGGGGAGGGGCAGAGAGAGAGGGAGACATAGAATCTGAAGCAGGCTCCAGGCTCTGAGCTGTCAGCACAGAGCCAACGTGGGACTCAAACCCATGAACCATGAGCTCATGACCTGAGCTGAACTCAGATGCTTAACTGACTGAGTCCCCCAGGCACCCTTTTAAAATATTTTAGATACACATACAAACTGTCATATTACAAGACTTGTATTAAGGCTCATGACAGTGGTAGTGGTGGTAAGTTGTTTTCATTCCTTCCGAGCCTTAGAGCCATGTGGCCCAGACCCACAGAAATGGCACAGAGCAGACTCCGTGCATGTTTGGTGTGTGTATATACGTTTGGCCGCTCATTTGTTGGGCAAATAAATGCCAGACTTCTAGAGAAGGCTCTCAAACTCATAGTTAAACAATGTTAGTGAGCGAGGGGGCTGAGATGGGGGGTCATGGGGTGGCGGAGCCTGAGGCAAGCTGGAATTGCTGGTCTAAAGTCAGATGGGGGGTGGGGCTGCCACACAGCTTCGTCCACATGAGGGTGAAGGCCCGTGATCACCAGACCCTCCAAGTTTTCAAGAGAACGTGGAATTCTAGATTTTAACGCAAGCTGGTAACGAAACTTGGCGAAACAGGCATTACAGACCAACGTGCGGTGGTGGGTGGGCAAAGAAAGTGTGTCTGAAGGTCACCAGTTTGCAGACCCTGTTGCACATCCTTCCGGTCCTGGTGTGTGGGCCGTGCCCAGTCCCGGCCGGGCACCAGGGGCCTGCGCGTTCTCCCTCCAGCAGGTAGCGTGCGCCGCGCCCTCATGTACGCTTTTCGTTTCATGCCTCACTCCAGGTCTTTGTCTGGGTTGGAAAGGATTCTCAAGAAGAGGAAAAGACAGAAGCCCTGAGCTCTGGTGAGGACCACGTCTGCCTGTGGGTCTGTCTCCTGTGGTGCGGTGGGAACGGCTTCCCGCGCGGGTCTGGGAGTTCGTGACAACGGGGTGGCACTTCCCCATCCGTGGTCAGCCCCTGTGAGCCCTGCCTGGGGCCCTGGAAGAGCAGACCGGCTCCTTCGGAAAGCCTCAGGTCATGCCAGGGAAAGGCTGCTTGCTTTAAGTTTCCAGAATGCCCGTGGACCCAACTCCTCAGTGTTTAGATGTTAGGAAGCAGATCTGGTAGCTGCCCGGGTCTGATTTGGGAGGCAGAACCCTAAATTTGGTTCTTTAATATCTTCCAAAGGGGAGAGCGAGAGTGCAAAATGATATAAACTTTGTGAAGCAGGGGGTTCAGCCGTGAAGGGGCTGTCCCTTCCTGTGTTCCCCGGGGCAGGGTGATGGAGGAGCCTTGTGCGCTCATCGCCCTTAAGGGACGGGAGCGTCTAGTACAGGGACTGGCCATCGGAGGCACTAGGAACAAAAGCCATCGGGGGCAGCTCCTGGCCTGAGCCACCTCTCCTTGGTGAAGGAGGCACTGAGGATTCCTGGGCTTTTCTTTCCTTGCGTGTGTGTCTGCAGCTAAGCGGTATATCGAGACGGACCCGGCTAACCGCGACAGGAGGACCCCCATCACCATCGTGAAGCAAGGCTTCGAGCCACCCTCCTTCGTGGGCTGGTTCCTTGGCTGGGATGACAACTACTGGGCTGTGGACCCCTTGGACAGGGTCATGGCTGAGCTGGCTGCCTGAGGACGGGCAGGCCCCACCCCCGTCACTGCTCAGTGCCTTTTATAACAGTCCAGCCCCCGGAGACCTTACGGCGAGCAGGGCCACTCTGGTGTGTGTGAGTGTGTTTCTACAGTAGCCAAAAACAGCCGTGCAGAGATTCAGGGTCCTTGCACAATTGTCTCATGTATCTCTCCTTTTGGAAATTGAATTCAATAAAAGCTTTTTTGAAGTGTGTTAGCCTGTCGTGGCTCAGTATGTTTCGGCTATTGTTCTGGGGGTTCCCAGTGCCTGTGAGCGGGTGGCTAGGCTCCTTCACTGTGTGTGAATCCTGGACCTCCGGGAAGCAGATGCCAGGATGAGATGGAATGTGATGGAATGAGGTGGCCTCCGGGGAACTGCTGTGTGAAAGGAAAACGGGAGGGAACTGAGGGAGCCGCTGGGCTGAGACGCAAGGCTGACCCCACGCGAAGGAGGGAGGGGGAGAAGGCCGGGTGGAAGCCATCCCAGATGGCCGTGCCGTCCAGGGAAGTTCGGCAAAGCTTTCAGGGAATGCTTGCACCAAAGTAAAAAATTAAGAAATAAAAATAAGGAAATTTTTTTTAATGGTATGTGGTGTGGTCCCAATCTTGTAATTTTTTTTTATTGTGGTAAACTCAATATAATAATCGTTTTGACCGTTTGTAGGTGGCATGCGGTGTCATTAAATACATTTTAGTGTCGCGAGGTCAGCGCCACTGTCTACACCCAAACCTTTTTCATAATCTCAGGGAGGATGCTGTGCCCATGACTCAGAGCTCCTTGTCCCTCCTTCCTCTTTGCTCCTGGTAACCTTTTATTTTTTTAAGTTTATTTATTTATTTTGAGAGAGATAGAGAGTGCCAGCAGGGAGGGCCGAGAGACAGGCAGCACTGTCAGGGCAGAGCCCCACGAGCGGCTGGAACGGAATCATGAGATCCTGACCGGAGCCGAAACCAAGAGTTGGACTCTTAACCTACTGAGCCACCCGGGTGCCTCTGCTCCTGGTAACCTTCATTTGACTTTCTGTCTCTATGGATTTGCCTTTTCTCATGTGTCCTCTGTGTCTGACTTATTTCACTGAGCATAATGTTTTCTCGATTCAGACGTTTTATAGCAAATATCAAAATTTCATTCCGTTTTGTGGCTAAATAATACCCCACCTTGTGTATACACATTTTGTTTAACCATTCATCCATCAGCGGCACTCACTCAGGTCATTTCCACCTTTTGGCTATTGTGAGCCAGGCTGCTGTGAACACTGGGGCGCAGGTAGCTCTTTGATTCTAAGAGTTTTTAGCCGAAGTCCAATCAGACAGCGAAGGCTCCCTGTGCCTCCCAGGAGCCGGGGAGGCGTGGCTTTGGTGAGCCTGTGGGGACAGCTGGGGCCCTTAGGCATTTGTGTTTCCTGCGGTAGAAGTCCCCGCTGCCGCTAGGCCCTGGAACTATCAGCCTTTAGGCCCTAGAACTATCTGCCTTCACCTCCCTGGGTTTCCATGTGTTCGGGGGTCATTTGGCTGCCCCAAAGCTGTTTGGAGAAATACCATCACGAGAGGTGCCCCTGAATGCTCCCAAAGTGTGGGAGAGGGACTTCCTCTGTGCCCTGCTTTGTCCCCACCCCCCCACCCTGGACCCTGAGTCTCTGTCCATGCTCAGGGAGTCACCAAGTCCCTCTTAGACTCTTCCATGAACTTCTCCTAAACCTTTTCTCCATGGATGTTCCAAACCAGAGCAAGGAGATGCTGTGGGACAGACCTCTTCTCCTCCCCTCTGTTCTTCTTGTCTTTTCTCCCGATACTCTCCCTGCTTCTGTTCCATGCCACCTCCCCGAGTCCCAGAGTCCCATCCCCACCGGTTACAGAGACTCCCATTCATAGGTAGAACAGAAGCCAGGGTGAGGTGTAGGTGCTGGGAAGGGTGTGCAGGTGTGTTTACACTGCGATTTCCAAAGCTGCAGATCACTCGATTGCCCAGGGGGCTTTTTAAAAGCATAGATGCCCCAGGGGCCCTACCTCCAGGGATTCTGATTCATTGCAGAGGTGATAAGGGGGAGTGGAGAAGGAATTTTCCAGGTGAGACATGGGGGCGGGGAGGGATTCAAGTCATCTCAGGCAGAGTGTGCAAGTGCAGAGGGAGAAGTGGGGAGCAGGTGGGGAGCGCTAGGCCTCACATCTTGAGAGGTAGGCTGGGCCTGCCTCAACGGCCCTGCCAAGGGATTTGGATGTGATCTTGTGACTCCTACCTCACTTACCCCAAAGGGTTACCTTCACGGTCAAAGCCACCGCTTTGACAGATGTGAAGTCCTAGAACAAAAGCAGCATTTACAGCCTAGACTTTCCAGGGCCTTCCCTCAAGGCGGGTGGAGTCCTGTCCAGACAAGCCAGCTCCCCTCCTGGAAACCTGTGGGAGGTCAAATTGCAGGCAGACCTGCCCCTGAATTCTTCATTTCCTCTACTTGCATTCAATGTGGTTTATTGGCCAATTTCAGTTTATCGGTGGCTGTGGCCTCAGAGCTCTACAGTGCTCGCCAAAAGGAAGTTGCCCGGGACAAGAGAGTGGCTCGGACTTCACATTTTTCTCTCAAAGTTCAACCACAGAGTGTCTCCTCCCAACAATTTTTTCCCTCAAAAAAACGACCTTGGATTTTGTCATCTACGATATAGAAGTCATCGTGAGGTGCCGTGACAGGTGGCGAAGGCCTGGCCTGCGCTCGGATCCCGTGCCTGACCTAGGGCTGATCAGTAGCTACCTGGTGTGTGCTCTGGGCCAGGCATTGGAGCTGTAACAGGCCACGGGGTGACAGAAGCAAGTTCCTGTCCTGTTTGGATTTGGGCAAAGGGAGAGGAAACCAGCAAAGGATTCTAGGCGTCCGTGGCTCTCCGACGCCCCAGGGCGGATATGTGCGCAGGTGCACCAGAAGGGCCTAGCCAGGAAGGGCAGCAGTCGGGCAGCTGTAACCCCTCCCCGCTTTTCGGCCCGCATAGAGCTCCCTGAGAAGCCACCGCTGCCAGCCTGGGGCTGGAGGACCACACGTGCCACTTCTGAAAAATGAAATCCACAGACGCCAAGTACAGGCAGGAACTGACTCTCACAGAGAATGAGCAAAAGTGCACACTGTATTATGTACAGCGTTGGAAAGGGAGGCCGTGTGGGAAACACTCTTGCGCCAGCGCTCTCATCCTACACCCTTTTGCCTTCCTCCCTCTCAAGCAATTTAATCCCAACCTATTGGGCTGTGAATCCACGAGGCAGAGAGGCGAAGACTGGTATCTGGAAATGGGGACAGTCAAAGGAGCAGAAATCACTGTTACTCTAAGCCTGAGAAGAGACTTTCAGCCAGGATACGGGGCTGTTTCCTGGTCCTCACTGGTCAAGGGTGAGCCACCTCATGCAAAGAGAGATCATTAGTTGAAAATTATAAATAGAAATGTAACTTGAGTTCCAAGTCAAAACGCGCCATATACATCTAATAAACTCCGCCAGGAACCTGGATGCGTGGCTCAAGGTCTTCTAAAATAAGCTCGGAAATGGGCGCTAGGGAAGGGGACACTCGCAGTCTGGGATTGACCGAGGGACGCAGCCAAGGATGGGTATGAAGGGTGGCTCTGGGTATGGGAGCTGCCATTCCTAAGAGCTCTGTAGGTGAACTCAGAGCCATGAGGAGGAAGTGGTTTAAGTGTCACCAGCCAGGTTTTCGAACTAACAGGAGGAATGCCAGTTTGCTCGGATCCACAGGCATTTGTAAAAAGGTGCTTCCTACCATTGTGAAACAAGAAAGCACGGGTCAGAGAGGGCGCCCACTTCCTCTTTGGGCACTGACATCCAGTATAGAAAAGGACGACTTGGCAAAAAAAAAAAAAACCCTACATCTATATATACCCTAAGTCTGACAGTGTCTTCCCAAGCTCACTGACTATTATGTGCCCAATATATTGTGAGTTCCTTATAATGTTGAATGGCTGGGCCTGGTAACCAAGATATTTCACAGTATACACTATTAAGAGCATGCAGACAATAAGAGAGAACTGCTGTAGATATTTTTTTTAAAAAAGATTGGTCCTTAAGCTATTCAAATGGGTATACAAAGAACTGTTTATAGAACTTAGAGAATATTTTATTTAAAAAATCAGAACTATTTAGAACCTGATATATGAAAATAGGCAAAAGTGAGGAAAAAGCACTTTTGTGACAAGTATTTAGCTGGTTTGAAAGACCACAGAGGAATCACTGAGTCATAAAGAGACTCAAAGAAGTTTGAAAGAAAGGGAGAGAAGAAACACATTATTCTTAAAGGATCTCTGGGATAGTAGATTTAAAAGTCTTTCAAGGGTTAAGATAATCTTTTTCAGTGACCTTGACCATTTCCCCCAGTGCTGACGGGTACGGGCATGAAAATGCCAACTCTCAAGTGAGGATTATTTTGAAACAAGGTCTGGGCTTAGAAAGTGGATGGATGGTAGGAAAATTTCCTTAAGGTTCCCTGGAAGTAAGGCACATATGGCCCAGAGAAGCAGGTCGTAGCCCAGGGTCATGCTTTCTGTAAAGCATTTGTCCAGCCAGGGTGTCAAGTGGTGGTTATAACCTATTTTCTCACCTTTGGTCTGGCTGCAGACAGATAGAGGGAGCAGAATGACCCAGTGAAAGTCAGAAGAAGGGGGATCTAACCTATTACATAATGATCTAAATGTATGAATTTTAAATAGTTTAAAAGAGTAAGAAATGATCTTACAGACCACCAGTCGCCAACCCCCTCCCCACATCCCTTCTCTCTCTCAGTATTTACAAGCTAACGATCTTCATCTGTGTCTGTTGCTAGGCTCACTACACACTCTAAGCACCTCGCAGTCAACATATGGAACAGGAAAGGGAGGAAGAATAGTCAAGGTCCCGCCCTACTCTCTCCTTACGGGCTAAAGGCTGAGTTGGTCCCCACTCTACCCTGGAAGGGAAGGGTGCACCTCTGTGTCGGCCGCTGTGGCTCACTGTTTTGCCCCTACGATGCCTTGCAACATGTCTATGGGCAGGGGGAAGACGATCGTGGAGTTCTTCTCAGCGGCGATGGTGGTCAGGGTCTGGAGGTACCGCAGCTGAAGGGCCGCGGGGGACTCCGTGATGACCATGGAGGCTTCCTTCAGAGCCCTGGACGCGTTCATTTCTCCCTCGGCCGCGATGACCTATGGGACAGGAGGAGGGAGGGGTCATACTGAAAATACGGGTGTCAGGGGGCAGTCTTCAAACTGAGGTACGCACACGAAGCCTTCCAGGAGTGTGCCACCATCGTTTCAAGCAGATCCATTCCCAGTTACCCTGTTTCCATATGTCCTTTTCCCTTATCTGATTCACCAGAGTATGTGCCTGAGATGGAGACCGAGTGTCTTGCTGTGGCTTTTCTTGCATGCGTCAGGGGACTGAGCAGAGGGGCGATTCAAAATAGGGGTTGAGAAAGTGACTAGTGACTGGACACAAATCCTTTTGCAAGTCAGATGGATTTCCAGTTGAGAGAAAAAGAGAGAGGGGGAGAGAGACAGAGAGACAGAAGCTTAAGCAGGCTCTATGCCCAGCAGTGCCCAATATGGGGCTTGATCTCACAACTGTGAGATCATGACCTGAGCCAAAATCAAGAATCAGATGCTCAACGGACTGAGCCACGCTGGCGCCCCTAATTCCAGTCCTTGATTTTAAAGAAAGGAAAGAGGCCCTTACGGAACTGAAAGCTGATGAGCATTAAACATATTTTTTAATGAAAGATCACTGTATGATTTTTAACACACAAATTCAGAGGCAATATGAAGAACTGAGTGGCATGACTTTAAACACAACTTTTATTTCCGCCTACTTATTCATGTAAAGTTCTTAGTCCTTTTATGTAGAAAAATGAAAAGTAAAGACTAGAATTGATGTTTAATCTTGTCTCATTCTGGCAATAAGTAATAGCCAGCTACAAAGACAGGAATTCTTCATCTTGTTAAGATAAGCATTTCTAGTTTAAAAAAAATTATTTAGGAGAAATTCTGAAACATTTAAACGCCTTATCCATAGTCACAGGAAATGTTTAAAATATTTTTTTAACTTCAACACTCGGGATGCCTGGGTGGCTCAGTCGATCAAGCATCCGACTCTTGATTTCAGCTCAGGTCATGATCTCATGGTTCATGGGATCGAGCCCCATTGAGGGCTTTTTGCTGACAGTGAGGAGCCTGCTTGGGATTCTCTCCCTCTCTCTCTCTACCCTTCCCCGCATGTGCTCTCTCTCTCTCTCAAAATAAGTAAAGTTAAAAAAAAAACCCACTTCAATACTAAACGTGTTGCAATAGGAATAATAAAGGAATTCATGACAAAATGTATTAGGAAAAGAATCCATGAGAAAGTAGAGTAGAAATTCAAGTTCAAGGAGGAAAAGGGACAATGAAACATGCCTGACTACTGAAAGAGCCTATTTACATATTTTAAATAGATGATGGAATCATTATGTTATTTGACTTTCACTGGATACATTGAAATGAATGGTGTTAATGGTTTTAATTAATTATTTAAAACCTTATATATTTTTTTAGTAATCTCTATACCCAATGTGGGGCTCAAACTCATGACCTCAAGATCAAGAGCTGCATGTGCCGCCCACTGAGCCAGCAGGTGCCCCAGTCAGTTAAGCATTTGACTCTTGATTTCAGCTCAGGTCATGATCTCACAATTTGTGAGTTTGAGCCTCACACTGGGCTCCACACCGAGAGTGCAGAGCCTGTTGGGAGTCTCTCTCTCTCTCTCTCTCTCTCTCTCTCTCTCTTGAAAATAAACAGTTAACATAAAATAAAATGTCAATATTTAAAACATGTCAGAGGTTACAGGCTTAGCTAAGTATATAAATTCAAATGCCAATTTTCACATGCGTATCTAAAATGTGTGATGGGACACATGGTTTGTCTAAATCCCTCTAGAGGTTACATGGGCATAAAAGTATGAACACCACCGGGGTGGTGGGGAGGGCAGGGGCTTTGGAGCGGGACAGGCTTGTACTCAAATTCCACACCTAACCCTCACCAGCTGAGTGTCCTTGGAGAGGTTATTTAACATTCTGAGCTCTGGTTTCTTACTCGTAAAATGGGATAGCCCCTGCTGCCCTCTGGGGCCATTGTGAGGAAGAGAGAAAGGTATAGTAAGTGTGGAATGTATAAATGGAGGCTATTGTATAGGAAAGGCAAGTGGGAAGTCAAGACCTGATTTTTGGGTCCACCTATGCCTTAATGTGTAAAAGATTCAGAAGCCAGTCAAGGCAGTGACTTTCACTCCATAATCCTAGGAGATGCATGAGGGTACCACGCTCGTTGAGCTTAACAGCGTAGTTACAACGGGACTGTTTTCACAGGGATCTCAAGATATTCACGGTTCATAATACTCCAATGAATATCAGAGTTGAAAGCAATAGTCTTAACGACCAGTGGAGTTTCATACACTTAAGACAGTAAGCGCTGGGAGCCACCTAGGGGTCAAGCCCTGTGCAATAGCCAGTGGGAGAGTGGGCCCCCTTGCCTCCTTCAGCTCCCGGCCAAGCAGGGAAGACAGACATGGGGACAGACCACCTGATTCCAGCATGAGAAATGCTGACGGAGACAGGGACAAGGCACAGGGACGGCACTCAGGGAAGGGAAGCAGCGTTCGCGGAACGTGAGCCGATGAGATTCCAGACACTGGCTAGGACGGGAGGAAGGCTTTGTTGCTTGGACAGAGATGAAGAAGAACGCTTCAGGCAGCACGCACGCAGAGGCGCCGAGGTTTTAAAAAGCTGGTATGTTCCTGAAAAATGTAAGCGGCGCAATGCAGCGTGAGGCCGAGGGGAGGCTGGGGTGTTTCGTCTGCGCTCTGGAGGCAGCAGGGAGCTGGACGGTTTTGAGCAAGGAGCCTCAGCAGATCCAGGTGGAGAAAACACACCGACAGACATCAGAGGACAGAGAAGGGGAGGCCCTGAGAGCGGCTAACAGGACAGCCGCGGAGTGGCCGGCGAGATTGGTGCGAGCGCACTTCTGTTGGATACACGCCGCCAGACAGTTCTCCAAAACGGTGTTACCAAATCTACCGTCTCACTAACAAAACAGGAGGGCGAGTTCTTCCCTCACCAACACTTGGTTCTTTTCTTTTCCTTTTTCCTTTCAGCCCACCTAGTGGGTGTCTAGTGTGGCATCTGCTTGTGATTTGAATTTGCATTTCCCTGACAGCGAATTAACTTGAGGAATTTCTCTCTGAAGGCTCTTAATCTATAGGCTCTCCTACCCTTTTCCTTCACAACTTATGTGTTGAAGGAACCGACTCCCTATTTTCCATGAGAACCTGACCGTATGGTTTTGGGTGTTGCAGGGTTACTGTATTTAAAAGGATAGACTCCTTGAGATTCTATGTGTTCACCCTACTCTTAAAGACAGTCACTGCCCAGGTCCTTGGGACTGTTCCGGATGACCCCTACAGCCTCGTCGGGGTGGGAGCACAGTAATTCAGGATTCTAACCAGCTTCCTTTCTCTCTTCCCATTGTTATCAGGGCTGCATTCCTAACTGGTGAAAGCACTTGCCCAAGACACTTAGTCCATCATGGAAAGTCCAGAGGAGCCAGAGGGGAATCCTAATGTCCACTGCCACTAATCGACTGTGTGACCTTGAGGAAATCACATACATTTCCTGGGCTCAACCCTTCCATCTGAATAGTGGGATGGCAAATACATTTGATTTTTAGGCCCAGTGCCAAGCAGTTGAGCACTGTTACCTGGAGGGCAACAGAAGGGTTCTGAGGTCAAGCCTAAGCTCAGTGGAAAACAGTGCTGTGCTTCATTACCGGCAGGGGAGGAGGAGGGGGGGGGCAGCATCTGGCGGGGGGGCAGCATCTGGGCCAGGTTACTTGTCAGCTTCAGAAAATAATCTCTAACGATTCCTCAGTTCCTGACTTTCGAAACAGTCTATTCGATATGGCTTAGAAATGCGGCTGTTGGTTAACGATGTAATCTAGGTAAAAGTGATTCCTGTTTTTCAAAATACTAATTTGATTATAGTAGGGCATATTTAATGTTTCCAGAAATACCACTTAGTCTTCTCAGTGTGATGGCAGCGCCTGAGGGTTCTGCAGTGTCACCAGGTCACCCTCATAAGCATCAATTATCATGTTAGGAAAACCTAACAATCCTGGTTAGTAGAAAATTCTGGGTATAGTGTGTCAAAGGATCTGCTATTCTGTTTGATGCTGGCTGAGAAATTACAGTGCCCAACTGGTGGCTTAAAGGGCACCCTACTAGGGGGCAGGGCTCTGTGCTTAGTTGGTTATCTCCAGCTACTACCATTTTCTTTCTTTTAAAAAAAATTTTTTAATGTTTATTTTTGAGAGGGAGAGAGACAGTGTGAGTGGGGGAAGGACAGAGAGAGAGGGAGACACAGAATCCAAAGCAGGCTTCAGGCTCTGAGCTGTCAGCACAGAGCCTGACACGGGGCTCAAACTCAGAGACCGTGAGATCATAACCTGAGCCGAAGTCATATGCTTAACCAACAGCCACCCAGGAGCCCCTACTATTATTTTCCAGCAACAACAATGGAGTGGTTTGCCCCTTGTGTCTTGTGAGATCTGTCAAGTCCACAGCAATCCCTTCAGGAAGACTGACCCTCTTCCTTCGCCCATTCATAGGCCAGGGGCTGTGGGACCTAATTAATATCTGCTTCTGACCATTTATAAAAAATGTAATGTTTATTTTTGAGAGAGAGAGACAGAGTGTGAGCAGGAGAGGGTCAGAGAGAGGAGACAGAATCTGAAGCAGGTTCAGGCTATGAGCCCTCTGCACAGAGCCTGACGCGGGGCTCAAACCCACAAAACATGAGATCAAGACCTGAGCTGAAGTCAGATGCTTAACAGACCGAGCCACCCAGGCGCCCCCTGAGTTTGCCCTTTTGACCAAACTTTGGCCAAAGAGAATCTCTCTGCTATGAATCTGGAATCAAGGCTGGTCCATCCGCCTTAGAGTTCAACTGAGGGAGGTGTGTAAACTTGAGTCGACACTCCACCCTCCAGCTGTCAGCAGTGAGATGAGGCCTGGGAGATGGAATGATTAGCATCCTGTGGTCCTGACCACACTGCAGTCCCTGGCATCATCCTTTCCTGATGGGACTTGACTTCTTCCCATCCTTGGGTTTGGCAAGATAGCCCTGTGCCCTCATGAATTAGCTCGAGACTCTCTTTTCTGGGTGGGATGAATAGATACTTCCTCAACACTTCTAGGGGGCATGCACCCATGTGGGCTCAAGAGGCAGACAGGGATGGCGATGACCAGAAAGAGGGAAAAACGCAGATATCAGAGGGGTGAAAAAAACGAAAGAGAACAGAGAGGAAGCAGGAACAGCAAGAAAGAAGAGAATCCTGAGAAAAGAGAGAATGAAAGCGAAGACAAAAATAGGCAAGGAACTGGGGCACCTGGGTGGCTCAGTCAGTTAAGCATCCAAAATCCAACTCTTGATTTTGGCTCAGGCCATGATCTCACAGTTCGTGAGTTCAAGCCCTGCGTTGGGCTCTGTGCTGACTGCTTGGGATTCTCTCTCCTTTCCTTCTCTCTCTCCCTATTCCTATCCTGCTTGCACTGTCACTCTCTCTCTCTCTCTCAAAATAAATAAATTTCAAAAAAAACAGGATAGGGAAGGAACAAATGTAAGCACACTGACTGGACTGCCCAGCTGTCCTGAGTGGGGGACTCGGAGCACGAAGTGTGGGACGTGGGGGGGCCATGCAGCCACAGAAGAACGAGGTGGCCCTGTACACACTGATGTGCTCGCAGGATGACGTTAAGTGAAAGGACCAAGGAACAGAACAATACACGTGGTGTGACCCTACTTCCGCAAAATAAACAAGCCAGCAGTCGAACACCCTAGTCAGATAAAACCCTGGTGTACACACTAAGCTGTCGCGACAGGTGGCCCCGTGGGGGGCTCGTGGCTTGAAGGGATAGAGAGGCTGTCAGCTTGACTAAACATGTTAAGATTATTTCTATTTTTATAACAACCACGTTTTCCTTAAAAAGAAAACTCGACAGGCAAAACAAACTGCGGAGGCAGCGCAGGGGAGGGCACCGTAGAGCAGGGGAGCGAGGAAACGAGGAAAGGACGGTTACCTTGGCTCGGGCCTCGCGAGATGCTTCGGCCTCTGCGGCCATCGCTCTCTGGAGCTGCACGGGCAGTTTGACGTCTTTAATCTCCACGCGCTCCACCTTTATCCCCCAGTCGTCCGTGGCGTCGTCCAGGGTACACTGTTGGGAAGAGAGGAGGTGAGCCCAGAGTGCTCAGCGCAGCCCAGAGGCCTAGGGGAGAGCACTGGGGTCTGAGGCAGGCAGGGCACCGGGGGAGAGCCGGGAGAGACGTCACTGCGCTATGCTGGACAGAGGGCCGAGGTAGGGGCTGGGTCCCAGGGAGCTGATCTGGATTCTAGTCCTCAGAGGCTCATGCAGAGGCCGGCAAACTTTTCCTAACAGGGCCAGACAGTCGTTCTCTGGCTTTGGTCTCTGCCACAGCTGTGTAACGGCGCCCCTGTGGGCGCCAGCTGTGGGCAACCCATAAACCAGCGCGAGCGGCCGCATCCCCAGAAAACGTTACTAACAGAAACAGGTGGCCAGCTGGCCCCCAATCTAACGTGACTCCGTGTGAGCCACATCACTTCTTTCTGCTTCAGCGTCGCCCCTTTACAATGGGTGGAACGAAATCCTACTTCCTGTCTCATACGGTGGTTGTGGACGTCAGGTAAGGTCACAGATCCCGCACGCAGTGACGCTGCTGTAAGTCACAAGATATCAGATTTGGGCACTTCATCTTCTTTGAAGAAGTCAGGTTTGTCCTGTAATCTATTACCCACGTAAGACTGGAAAGCATACGAGTTACAAGGAGATCATGGGCCTCACCCAGAGAATTCAACATACCTGCACCACCTTGCAAAATGCACTCTGACTTATTATACTAAAGAAAAAGGTTAATATTAATTCTTGGAAAAAAAAAAAACCTACACTGAAGGGAATAAAAAAAATGATGCAGGCCTCTGAGCTAGTAACCCATGAGCTTTTTGTGAAAAATATTCCCTTCCATCAGATAAAGTTTGAGAAAACCTTTCTATGAAGAAAAGAAGGCTGGTCAGCGGTTTCCCAACTGGGATGAGTAAAAACCTGTCAAACAACCAGTGACCCTTTGCTTCCTCCTTTAGTTTCTGGCGGGTCCCAGAGCCGGCGTGCACCTCACCTGCATGTTGTGTGCGATTTCTTCTCTGTCAGACAGGATCTGAGAGAGGTTCTTGGTGCCTAGGACGTTCCTCAGAGTTGTTTGTGCCAAAAGACGGGTTGCGGAGTCGGCATTGGTGATGTTGGCCACAGCCAGGGTTGCATTCTGCACGCGGTAATAGACCACGCCATCCACACTAATGGTCACTGAATCCTTGGTGAGGATCTGTAACAGGAAGGAAGCGGTTTTACGCTGGCCGACTAACTCCTTCTTTACTATGACTAAGAATGTTGTCCCACGGAACACCTTAAACAACTGATTTTCTCTAGTAAGTGCTTTCGACTCAGTGTCTGTGTCCCTCATAATTCAGAGGCGGGGGCCTAACCCCCAACATGGTGGCAGTAGGAAGTGGGGCATTTGGGATGCGATCAGGTCATGAGGGTGGAACTCTCAGGGTCATCTAGGATCTAGGAAGCGGGCCCCCCTCGGACCCTGAGTCTGCGGGCTCCCTGACTTCCGGCCTCCAGGACTGTGAGCAATAAATTCTGTTGTTCCTGAGAACCTATGGGGTTTGGTTGTAGCAGCCCGAATGGACTAAGACAACAAAACATCAGGAAGTATGAATTTAGAATTTTAATAAAATACATTCACTTATTCCTTAATTCTATTAATTCATTCAGTTATTCAACAAATACCGAGATACCACGCAGCAGCAGGAGCTGTGCCTTCAAAGAAGATGGGAACGAAGGGAGACTTTATGGGGCAAAGGAAGGACACTTGTAGGTGGCAGGGGTGGTACATGAACTGCATCTTCAAGGAAGAAATAACAATTTTAATTTTTAATTTTTAAATTAAATTTTTTTTATTTTATAAAATTTTTTTAATGTTTATTTTTGATGGGAAGAGAGAAACAGAGACAGAGCATGAGCAGGGGAGGGGCAGAGAGAGAGGGAGACACAGAATCTGAAACAGGCCCCAGGCTCTGAGCTGTGAGCACAGAGCCCGACATGGGGCTACAACTCATGAACCATGCGATCATGCCCTGAGCTGAAGTCAGACACTCAACCGACTGAGCCACCCAGGTGCCCCTTTACATTTTTTATTTTAGAGAGATAGAGAACATGAGCAGAGGAGAGGGGCAGAGGGAGAGAAAGAGAGAGAGAGAGAATCCCAAGTAGACTCCACACTCAGTGCTGATGCAGGGCTCGATCTCATGACCCTGGAATCATAATCTGAGCCAAAATCAAGAGTCGGATGTTCAACCGACTGAGCCACCCAGGCACACTGAAGTAACGATTTTTTGAGGGTGGTGTGAGAGTATCCAAGTTGGAGAGAATAGCGCACAAAATGGCACAGAGGAATGGTAGAGCGAGGTTTGCCGAACTATACAGAAGTAGCACAGTTCTGCTAGAACAAAACGTGAGTGGGGGATGTGGTGATAGGTGAGATCAGGGTACGGATCGACTGTACACGCGGCACGAAGATGCCTACCAGGACGTAATTTGCCAGTGCTTCCTGCTCCCACCCTCAGGGCGGCTCCTCAGTTTGGCATACGCGCCCTCTGACCAATGGCCCTTTGGCCTCACTCCTTCACTCCCTCCTGCACACTCTATACAGGACAAGGTGTGGGCCCCACATGCACTACGTCGCATGTCCCAGGGCCTTTGTGCAGGAGTCCCCTCTGCTTGGGTGACCTCTCCTCTCTCTCTCCGGCATGCCATGCGACTGGCACATTGTTACTCATCATTCAAGACACAGCTCAAGTGTCTTCTCCTCCGTGAAACTTGCCAGGCAAGGAGTTAAACACTGTCCCCTTTGCGCAGCGGCCAGAACTGTTGACTGACATCACTGCTTCTCTACTGGACTGTGCATTTCTTGAGAGCAGCCTGTCTTTGTTTCACTAAGAATGCTGGATCCACAGCAGGTAGTGAATAAATGGTAGATGAACCAAAATGTGATCCTAGGTACAGTGGTTGGTGCTGAGCACAGAGGGAGGGTCAGGGATGGGCTGTACCCTCCTCGTGATCCCTGGTGAGGCTCTTAAACTGCTTGACCTAGAGAGTCCCCATTTGTGAGATGGCGCTAATAACACTGCCCGATTCTGCTCAAATTTCTTTGAAGGTCCAGTAAGATGTTTGTGAATGAAGCTCTTTTGAAAGTGAAAAGGGGCGAGTGTGCGTACCTCTGTCTGTTAAGCTCCCGACTCTATTTTGGCTCAGGTCATGATCTCAAGGTTCATGAGTCCGGGCGCTGCCTCGGGCTCTGGGCTGACAGCTCTAGAATTCTTTCTCTCCCTCTCTCTCTCTGCCCCTCCCCCACCCTCTCTCTCAATCAAAAATAAATAAACTTAAAAAAAAAAGTGTAAAGAGCTATGTAAATGGCAAGTAATAATAATTAATGGCATTACATAGCTATTTTGTCCCTGCTAGGCATGAAAGCAGTAATCCTTTTCCTGATAATCTAAAAATACTTCTAATAGTATATTACCATCTTGTGTGAAAATTAATTATTTCCCATGATGTGATGGGAAAATGTGTATCATTTCTAAACAATTTCTTGCCCTCGTGACTCTGCCACCGCCAGAGCTTTCTAAAGCTGTGGCCTCTCTTCCTACTGTTTATTGTAGGCAGAGTATTTATCTTCCTTCATATTAAGTTCACAGGGGATCGGAAAAAGGACAGCTTGCCAAGTTCCAATCTGCTCTGCAGTCAGCGGCTCACAAGAAACAAGACGGCAGCTGGAAGGCAGAAGCTTCCAGCAAGCCTGCCAGATGCCTGTAATGTTTATGGAGGAAAATGCCCGGACTCCCAGCTACCCTGAAAAGGGCTCCTTCTGAGAGCCAACCTTCCCTGAAAGATGGGAAACCATGCAGAGAATACAGCCCAGCTCCCAGCCTTGTTGTTGTGGGTGAAAGCGATTCCTCGTGTCCCTATGTACGTGTGGATTATAAAGTCTGACCTCAACCCCTACTTGGATCGGCACCAGCAAGGAGGCTCCTGTGCTGGTGTCCGGATTTGGGGAGAAGAGAAGGCAACGTGGCCAGGCTCCCCTGCCCTGCTGAGTAGCTGGCCTTTGGCCAGGAAACACTTGACAGTATTCTTCTCTTCCTCCCTTCATACCATTTTCAGGCGTCCTATCTGCAAAGGTTATGATGCCTCCCTGGACATGTGCACCAGGCTGGCCATCACTGGGTCCCGGGAGCATGGAGCAGTGGGAAAAGCACGAGGCAAGGACCACGAAAAGCTAGACGTTAGTCTGGCTCTGCCACTGTGGTTTGGTGGGACCCCTTTGCCCCACAGCAGCTACGTGCTTTCCAGGGATTCTGCTGTGAGTTTCAACTGTGATATTACTTGTGAAACACACTGAAAGAGCATGAAGTCATTATGGTTATAAAACATTATATCCTTTATCTAAGATGTCAAATGAGCTGTTCCTAATTCTTGGGCTTCTAACCAATTTATCTAGAGTCTAATCAAGAACCTTAAGAAGAATATTGTACTAAGCTGGATTTTCTTTTCTTTTTTTTTTAATGTTTTATTTTCGAAAGACAGAGTACAAGAGGGAGGAGGGGCAGAGAGAGAGGGAGACACAGAATCCGAAACAGGCTCCAGGCTCGAACTGTCAGCACAGAGCCCCACCTGGGGCTCAAACCCATGAACCATGAGATCATGACCTGAGCCGAAGTCAGACGCTTAACCGACTGAGCCACTCAGGCACCCCCTACACTGGATTTTCTATCAGAAATCCATAGCAGAGAACTGTGGTTGTAAAAATGATGACAAGTATGAAAATGCTAGCACTTGGGTTAACATTATGCTACACTTTGTAATAAGAAGCACTTATACAGCACCTGCTCATTTATCAGTCTCTGTTCTAAGCACTTTACATATGACATCCCATGCAGTCCTCACAAGGACATTATAAAGTAAGTTCTACTATTATAGCCTTTATTTTACAGCTGAGGAAACTAAGGCTCAGAGAAGTTGAGGAACTTGCTCAAAGTCACACAGCTGGAAAATAGTGACCGCTGACAGTCCCTCCACCTGTGCTCTCACTGCTCTCCTCTGCCTCTCTCATTGCCAAGTACTTTCACACATGACATCTATTATTCATAGCAAAACACAACCTTACCTCCTGAGGAGGAATGTCAAATGAAATAGTTCTCATGTCCACTTTGATGAAGCTGTCAGTGCACGGCAGAATGAAAAACAAACCTGCAACAAAGAGACACAGAAAGAAAGCTATGGAGAGACACCAGCGCCAAACCCTTCCGCTCTTCCAGAATCCACTTAACCTACGGAAAGAAGCCACGTCTCGGGGCGTGGGCCGGGTGCCAGCCATGCTACCCTCCTGATTACTTTCCCCACCAAACTGCTGCCGCTCAGGCCTGTGATCTCATTTCCTTACTCTGCCGTCACTGGCCATCTTGTTTCCACATACACCAATGCAATCCTTCCCCAGGCTTCCAGCATCTTCCCATTTCTCTCCTATGGCCCGTAAGCACAACAGTCTTTCCTGATCTGCAGAGCCCTGCACACATGCCACAAGGTCCTGCCCAGGCCGCCCAAGGCCCTCTGTAGCCCCTCTCCTGTCCCCTCTGTGCTCCTGCTGGGCTGTTCTGGGCCGTTCCCTGGGTCTGCCGTGCTCTCTTCTACATGGCTCCACACCTGCTGCTGTCCCTGCAGGGAACACCTCCCTTGAGGCCCACACCTATCCAGGCCTCAAGACTCAGCCAAGATGTCACCTTCAGCCAACACGGTCTCAGCCTACTAATTCGGGTCAGTCCCATGTCTCTTGGCTTCCACAGATAACTGCAATTACTTGATCATAATACTTATCTCACGGGGTTGTAACCGTTTTGCTTTTTGGTGTCCACTAGAGCGCAAGATCCTTGGGGGCATGAACTATCTATCCTTGGGGGCACGAACTATATTTTAGTTTCCCTTGAATTCCCAGAGCCTGGCATGCACTAGGGGCTTAAGTGAAGTTTGCCAAAAGCGATGACGGAAAGCCGTTCACGTAGTAGGAATTCTCATGCTCAGGCTTCCATGGCTGTCACTATTCCTGGCCTAAAATAATCTTATCGGCTCAGATGGGAAGAGGAGGGGAGCTGCGGGAAGGAAAGGGTGATTGTGGCAAGACTGGCTCCGCCACTGCTATTGTTACACTTGTACTCTTTTCTGAGCCAAAAGAGAAGGGGCCCTTGGAAGGGAATTCATATCAACGGGGGGAAGAATTTCAGTCTCCAGATCAAATACCCAGGACCCTTATACTGACCTGGCCCTTTGGCTCCTCCTTGTAAAATGCGACCCAATCTAAAGATGATGGCTCTTTCATATTCTTTTATGATCTAGGTTAAAAACACAAATAATAATTTAACACGAGGGGTGCAAATATTTATATCCACTATATATTTATACACAGCTTCATTTTTTAAAGTTTATTTATTTTGAGAGAGAGAGAGAAAGAGAGAGAGAAAACGAGCATAAGTGGGGGAGGGGGAGAGAGAGAGGGAGAGAGAGAATCCAAGCAGGCTCTGTGCATCAACACGGAGCCCGATGTGGGGCTTGAACTCACAAACCGTGACATCATGACCTGACCCGAAACCAACAGTTGGTGTTTATCCAACAGAGCTACCTAGGCGCACCCAATATAAACAGCTTCTTAGATATGTATTTCTGCTGAAAACAGGTTAGATGCCTCTATTTTGTTTTTTTTCCTCTAAAATCCAGACAGTATCAGGGTGCCTGGCTGGGTCAGTTAGAAGGGCATGCGGCCCTTAATCTTGAGGTTATGAGTCTGAGCCCCACATTGGGTGTAGAGGTTACTTAAATACGTAAAACTTAAAAATAAATAAATAAATGGAGCTCCTGGGTGGCTCAGTCTGTTAAGCATCTGACTCTTGATTTTAGGTCAGGTCATCTCACGGTTCACGGGTTTGAGCCCCACGTCAGGCTCTGTGCTGACAGCGTGGAGCCTGCTTGGGATTCTCTCTCTCCCTCTCTCTCTCACAAAAATAAATAAAATTTAAAGAAAGAACAATTAAAAAGAAATAAATAAAATCCAAACAGCATCTATAAATCACATGTCCAATGTTTAATTATCCCTCCCAAGCATGATATGTATTTGCTCTTTTAACTTACTATAAAAGCAACAGATATTCATGGTATAAAATTTGGGAAGTATAGGATAGTATCCAGGAGCGAATCCATAACTTTACTCCTCAGCTGCTAACATCATCAGTCAGTTACTCACGCATTGTTAATAAAGAACAACAACAACAAAAAAAGCTAAGTTTCCCCTAGTTTGTCTCCCGATTCCTTAAATCAAAATAATAAACTTATCTGAAAATTCTTGGAGTATATTTTATATCTTTAGGAATATGTAAATGATAGTTTTTTGTCATAATATTAATAACTTCATGGAAAAAATAACCAGCATTTAGGTGTCATTTGCCATGTGCCATGTTGGGATATGCATGTTTGGATACATTATTTTAATCCTCACGTTGGCCGTACGAAGTGGGTATTGCTGCTTCCTCCCATTTCACAGGAAGGAAACATGGCAAAGGTCACACGATAAACAATGGAGCCTCTCAGCTTCCTGAGTCTGGACAGGGCCGTCCTACATCCCAGACTCCAATGGTGAGCCTTACTCTTTTTTTGGCGCTGGGAGAACATGAACATGCCCTCGTGTTTTTTTGTGTTGTTGTTTTGAGAGAAAAGAGTGTGAGCTGGAAAGGGGCAGAGAGAGAGAGACAGAGGATCTGAAGTGGGCTCTGTGCTGAACTAGGAGATGACGACCGAAGCTGAAGTCAGATGCCCAGCCGACCGAGCCATCCAGGCACCTTGATGGTGATCCTTACTTTTAACCTATGAGAAAGGACCGCCTGAAAAGAAGTCCTAAAGTCCCATTACAATATGTGACTAGAGTGAACCTTCTAAAGGAGACATGAAGGAAAAAGAATTATAGGCCAGCAGGTATCTCTCTGACTCGTTTCCACCCACATACACACAAAGGAGGTGTAGGTAGTTAGGGCTTGACCCCTTTCCAGGCGCAAGTGAAATATTCCTTACCTTTATGCACATCCATACTGATATTGGGAAAGTTATAACTGTGAACAAGAACGAGACAGCCACCAAAATCCAGCCACAAGGTCCAAGGCCCGTACTAGGGCTATCTGTGGGAAAAAAAAAAAACACAGCTCTCATCATCGTTTCATCATTATTGGCACAATGCTACCATCCTCAGCCTCTGTTCACTGAACACACCTATACTGGGGGTCATCAGAGCATTTTACACAGATTTTCCTATCTAATCCTTACAGCCCTGAAGTGCAGGTGCTACTTTTTTTCCCTTTTCTCTTTTTATTTATTATTTTGAGAGAGAGAGAAACAGAGCACATGAGCCAGGGGAGGGGGGAGGGCCGGGGAGAGGGGCAGAGAGAGAGGGAAAGAGAGAGAATCCCAAGTAGGCTCTGTGCTGGGAGCACAGCTCAAACTCATGAACCACATGATCATGACCTGAGCTGAGATCAAGAGTCAGATGCTTACCCAACTGAGCCACCCAGGCACCCTGGTGCTACTTTTTCTAATCTACTTAACATGACAAGGGCTGTCTATGTTATTTTTTTTTATCCTGCGGACATTTGTTAGGCACCTAATATTTATTATGGCTTGTGCTTTGCACTGAAGGGGTAAAAGAGAGTAAGACCCAATCCCAGCTATCAGGAAGGTTAAAGTTCAGTAGACAGGACAAACAGATCATTATAACATGGGTTGGTGAGTGCAGACATAGAGCGTTCTGTTCAGAACGTTCTGAAAACACAGAACAGGGGTAATTCACACAGGTGGGACAGAGCAGGGCTAGGGTGGGTAGGCGATGGTGATGGTACTCAGAGGGGCTTCTTGAAGGATATAACGGTTAAGGAAAAAAACCAATGAAAAGGGAGGAGAAGGAAGGCAAAGAGCATGTAAGCCGAGGGTACAGCATAACTAAAGGTGAAAACTACATGTTATTTCACTGGGCATATGCACCATGATTTATTACCCTTCTCCTGATTATTAGACACATTGCTCCTGACTTCATACATTATTAACAACGTTATGGGAAACATCTTGGGACACAGTTTTCCTCCCACTTTCCTAATTGTTTCCTTTCCTGTAACATGAAATAGCTCTTTGTCTTATTACAAAGGTAATGCACTCCTCATTGCAAGAAATTCAGAAATGTATGAAGACGAAGGGGAAAATTACTCAATCCAGAGTTTGTAAGTATGCTTCCAAACCTTTTTCTTGTACACACACATCTTTATAAAGAAATAAAATGTGTAACCTATTTTTCTCCCTTCTATTATTTTCACCTTCTTTTTCAGCCTTTGTTGCTATACATCTGTGCTTTTTCTAATTTTTTTATCAGTTATACTTTCATAAAGTTTAAAAAGTCCAGAAGTTCTATAAGACTAATACAAAAAGAGAGCACTCCCCTGCATACCTCTCTGTTTTTCTTTCTTCAAAGGCAACTGCTCTGTTGGCTGAGTATTTTGGTAGATTACCCCCATGTTTCTAAATAATATGCTGATTTTGTTCCTTGCTATTTTCTTCATTTTGAGCATTACACACTGACTTTCCACTGCGGAAGGGGATTTAGCTTTGCCCCACCCCATAAATATACCCATCTTTCTAATTACATAATTTTTGTGTGCTCATGATACAATTTTACATTTCATGCATATATAAATGCAATTCAAAACTAAGCCACACAGGGACATCTAATTCATTTTTCTGTCCCATGCAACTTTTTGTTTTTCTCCACTATCTTGGTTTTTCCCTTTGCTGAGGGTTTTTTTTAAAGTTTATTTTATTTATTTATTTTGAGAGAGACAGAGCAGGAGAAGGGCAGAGAGAGAGAGAGAGAGAGAGAGAATCCCAAGCAGGTTTTGCATTGTGAGTGCAGAGCCCAATGCAGGGCTCAGACTAATGAACCATGAGATCATGACCTGAGCTGAAATCAGGAATCAGACATTTAACCAACTGAGCTACCCAGGCGCCCCCTCACCTTTGCTTAGGTTTTAATGTACTTATTGATTCAGCCTCAAACCGCTCATCAATGATCTCAATCTCCTCTCCCAAGGGTCAGGTCCTCCACCAATTTCACCTGCTAAGAGTCTTTCTTGGAGCCAGCTCTGGACTTGGTCTCCTGGGTGGTGTGAGTGGCTGTCCCAGTGACCGCCTTTCACTACCATCCTGGGAAACCCCCTTCACTTCCTGGCTTGTGTTTTTCCACTTTCTGTATCCAGAGTCTTCCTCATTTTTAGTTAGTTTTTCCTCTTGGTGGAGGGCAGAGGGATTTTGAAGGCCAAGAGAAACTACCACTTTTCTTATCAACCACTGAAAGGGTCTGCTCTATTTCCGGGAGCGGTTTCAATACTGAGAGGGAGATCGGCAAGGGGGGAAGAGGTAGGCCAGGCACGTGCTACGGCTCAGAAGGGCAAAGATAACAGCGAGACAGGCTTTTGAATAAATGGTGGGTCAAGAAATAAGCAGTGTTCAGGCTGAGACCTTGAGAAAGAAGAGACACAAGCTGGCAGGTCAAGTGCTCTGAAACACAGGATGAAGGAGCAGGAATATATGTTATATAGGACTTTGCAGTTTTTCTGATTCTGTGTCATAGTGGGAGGTAAACAAATGTCCTATGCATACTTGAATAAAAGTGCTCGAAGTTCATCTCCTGGAAGCTTCTAAGTTAAAATGTGTGAGGTCGTAGACATAGTTACTGTGAGGGTACTCCAAGCAAGGCCACAAGGCTGCCTGTGCAGAAAGCTCCGTCAGGCATTATCACAACTGACAATAATCACAGCAGCCATTTTTAAATGGTTTGTTATAGGCACTGTGTTCAGTTACTTTAGATGTGTATCTCATTTTGCTCTTTCCAAGCCCTGTGAAGTTAAGTATTTTTTAAAATATTTTTTAACGCTTTATTTGCTATTTTTGAGAGAGACAGAGACAGAGGGCAAGCAGGGGAGGGGCAGAGAGAGAGGGAGACACAGAATCCAAAGCAGGCTCCAGGCTGTATGCACAGAACCCAGCTTGGGGCTTGAACCCACCTGAGCTCATGACCTGAGCTAAAGTTGGTCACCCAACTGACTAAGCCAGCCAGGTGTCCCTAAACTATTTTTTAATGTTTGTTTGTTTGTTTGCTTTGAGAGAGCATGCATGCATAAGCAGGGGAGGGACAGAGAGAGAGAGAAGGAGAGAGAGAATCCCAAGCAGGCTCTGCACTGTCACTGGCAGAGCCCAAAGTGGGGCTGCAACTCACCAACCACAAGGTCATGACCTGAGCTAAAATCAAGAGCTGGATGCTTAACCAGCTGAGCCACCGGGTGCCCCTGAAGTTAAGTATTTTTAATTCTGTTTTATAAAGGAGGTAACTGAAACAAGAAAGCTTTCCCAAGGTCACACGATGGAGGAGGATCTGGGATTTGAACATAGATCAGCTTGCTCCAGAGCCTCTGTTCTAAGTCAATTCACTCCTTTGGTCCTCTGTCTCTGAATTAAAAAAAAAAAAAATCCTCATGAAAAATGTTTTCGGGCCTGGAGCACTTTCTCAAGACAGGATCCAGACTGGGAAAGTATGGCAGGAGTTCTGAGAATGAAATCTGATGTTCGTACAGAGGAAAGGCCTCTTAATTCCGGTTGTGCCTATTTATAGCAAAAGAGTCTCAAGGCTCTTTGCCAGGCTCAGGTCTAGGCTTCCAAAGTGAAATGGATTCCAAACAAGGAACAGACTGGTCAAATACTTCTCTGACAGCATTTGGTACTAAAATACTGCCCCAAACCTCCCCTCTCCAGTCAAAGTACAAAGCTCTGTGTCCTTAATATATAAGACTAGAAACTTTCTGAGGGCAGGGATGTTTCTTCTTATTCTTCTCTTATTTGAGCCCAGTCTTTCTTCGTGTATTTGTGTGCATGGGTGTGCACGCGCCCACTTTCTGTTATGACATTATTTTTAAAATTCCCAAATGAATATACGGGATTACAAATCAAGAGCAATAAGAAAGAGGTGTATATCTGGAAAACTGGACTTGGACTTTCACATCTCAAGTGCTCAGCTGAAAATAATCCATGCAGGGGCACCTAGTGGCTCTGCTGGTTAAGCATCTGACTCTTGATCCTGGCTCAGGTCATGATCTCACTGTTCGTGAGTTCGAACACTGTGTTGGGCTCTGCGCTGGTAGTGCAGAGCCTGCTTGGGATTCTCTCTCTCCCTCTCTCTCTGTCCCTTCCCTGCTTGCTCTCTCTCAAAATAAATAGATTAAAAACTCAATTAAAATCTATGTGTACACTGGGGAATGGCACCATTTCATGTTATTCTGGTGCCTTTAGAACTATCCCATTCTCAACCCTTGAAATTCTTCCCCATCTGGTTATAGCTCATAAAGGTATGTACACAAGTCACATTCCTCAGAGAGGTGAGTGAGGCTTATACTTCACCAAGCTACTAATGAACTCTTTGTCGTCTACCATTCATGGGCCAGAGGAATAGAAATTCTTAGTTACTCCCCTAAATTTCATGAAATTCATTTCCTTCAAGTTTCTCATTCATTACCTTGAAGATTGCATCCTCTCTACTAGATGTAGGAGGTAAAAGATAAATGATGAGCAGTCGGTATTCCTGAGATATTTTGGTTGATATATGTGTTCGTACTTGGCCAGGTGGGATACTCCTAAAGATTTGTGACCCCATGATACTTGGCTGTAGACACTGCTTGGCCGTGGTTTATATTTTCTTTTACTATAAAACTCTTCTGAAAACTGCATAAAAATAATTTTTGTAATATTTATTTATTTTTGAGAGGAGGGAGGGGCAAAGAGAAAGGCGGACAGAGGATCTGAAGCAGGCTCTGCACCAACAGCAGCGAGCCCGATGTGGGGCTCAAACCCAACCATGAGATCATGACCTGAGCCGAAGTTGACACTCAACTGACTGAGCCACCCTGGTGCCCCAAAATAAATTTTTAACTAATCAAAGCAAGGTTTTGAAAATGGATATAAGTTTATACATGAACACTGTTTAACTGAATATTCAAATAGGGCTTATCTTCGGGGGACTAACATAGATTTTAAAAAACATCATTTTTTTCTCTTATTTTAAAAGAAAAAATGATCTATACCTTCATTT